TTTTTTTTTTTTTTTTTTTTTTCCAGAACCGGGGGTTGAACTCAGGCCCTTGAACTTGCCAGGCAAGCACTTATTCTACTGAGCTATTTCCCTGGCCACTATGAAACACTTTCTGAGTAATTTTTATCAACTGAGACAAATTTATTCTTGCAAACCTTTCTAACTTCTGCACCTGTGTCAGATACCTGGGGACCACTGAGCAAAGTATAACGTTTTAGTTTTAAGGCCTCCTGAAGCAACCCTGCCCAAGGAATGTGAGAGCAACTTCTCTTGTAATGAGGCAGGAAACCTAGAGAAGACTCAGCTCACCTGGGCTGTACAAGATGGACAGTTAGTTAAGGCCTTAATATGTATCTATGGACAAAATCTGGTGGATCCCAGTAAAAGGAATCTTAATCTAGCATATTTGCTGTAGATTTTGCCTGCATGATTGCCTAGATTTTGATATCTTCTTAGGAAAGAACAAATTTTTTGAGAGATTAGAATATATATAATTGAAGCATGAACACTTGAGCTAACAGGTAAATGTATAAACATTTTGAGGCTAGCAGTCATAACCTACTAGCTCTTAGACCCCTTTATTTGTGGAGTCTTGATGGTTTGCTATAAGTCCCTCTAGCTTTAGTTAAGAGAGGTCACACCTTTATTAACTATCATGAAATACACAGCATTTAGTCAGATTAGACCAATGTCACATTCAGTCTTTTGCATATGGCCCCTATGGAGATGTATTTTAATCTCAACTTTCATACTGTGATTTTTGGCAGGATGAACACAGTGACTCTGATAATGAAAATTTGGCATTGGATGACCAGGAAGATGAGGATGAAGAAGAACTCTTAAAGCGATCTGAAAAGCTGAAAAGGCAAATGTAGGTGTTGTCTCCATTCCTTCAAATGGGAGGGTTTTCCTTTAATTCCTGAGTGACAGCTTAGCATTTTTTTTCTTTTTCCAGTTTACCACTTTTAATCTACATTTTCTGGTTCTGTTTCAGTGTTTTGTGGTTAACATAGATTAAACAAAACACTTAGTGTGTGAGATGTCTTCAGTATTCAAATATGGTGGTCAGTGTTCCTTAGGTCATACCAGTGCTAAGTGTTTCTGCCTCTTCTTCCTTCCAGATCTAGTGACATTGCCTGTGATCTTCACAGGTCTTGGGAATTCTCTTTCTTTGGAGGTGTAGTCTGGCTCTTTGATGTACTGGGTCCATACTACTTACAATGTAGCCAAAGATCAGAAGAGCAAACTTATACGTGTGGAGTCTGAGAACTAAAATTAGTAGAGAGGGGGCCAGAGAAATAGCTCAGTGGAATAAGTGCTTGCCTGGCAAGCACAAGGTTCTGAGTTCAATCCCTGGTACCACTGAATGAATGAATGAATGAATGAATGAATGAATGAATGAATGAATGAATAAGTAGCTAAAGTTCCCTGGAACTTTCCCTATGAATTACTATTCTGTGTTTTACTCGTTCTGGCCTCCAACAAATTGCCCACTTAATGTTTTAATATTGATTGTTCTGATCATGAAAATAAGACATTTATTTCAGACTATTAAAAAGAATACAGGGGGAGGGACCAGGGAGATGGCTTAGTGGAATAAGTGCTTCCTTGGCAAATTCAAGGGCCTGAATTCAATCCCTGGTTCCACCAAAAGAAAAAGAATACGGGGTTGTGGCGGGGAGCGGGAAGATGGCTCAGTGGAATAAGCGCTTCCCCGGCAAGCACAAGCGCCTGAGTTCAATCCCCGGTTCTGTCAAAAAAAAGAAAAAGAAAGAAAGAGAAAAAAGAATACAGGGGGCCGGGGAGATGGCTCAGTGGAATAAGCACTTCCCTGGCAAGCGCAAGGGCCTGAGTTCAATTCCTAGTTCTGCCAAAAAAATAAAAAGAATACAGAGAGATGGTAGGTGTAGTTCAGTTAGAGCACATGCTTGCCTCGCATGAGCAAGGCCCTGGGTTCTGTATTCAGCACTGCAAAAAATAAAATGAATAAAGAATGCAGATAGATATAGATAGATAGATAGTCTCCTGTCCACAGTATATGTGAAAGTGTCAATGGTCATTATTTCTTAACATATGTATGCATTTTATATATTTGAGATTCACGGGTATTTTGTTTTGTTTGGGGTACTAAGAAATGTACTCAGGACCTTGTACTTATAGGGCAGGTGCTGTGCCACTGAGCTGCGTCCCTGGTCCCCACAAAAATAATAGGTGGGAGCCAGGGAGATGGCTCAGTGGAATAAGCACTTCCCTGGCAAGCTCAAGGGCCTGAGTTCAATTCCCGGTTCTGCAAAAAAAAATAATAACAATAATTCTAATAGGTGTTCAATGTTATTTGAATGTGAATGACTTCCTTTGGGAATCCATATCTTGGGCATCATAGTGATGCCTAGTAGATTCATGGGATTCTGGGCTCATGGTTGCCTTGAACCCAGCATTCCACTCTGTTAACATCCACTTGGGGTTCTAATTTGTCACCTGTCAAATTAACTCTGATACGGCTTTAGAATATTTATAAGATTTTTCTAAGACAATGGTTCTTTTTTTTTTTTTTTTTGGTGGGACCAGGGATTGAACTCAGGCCCTTGTGCTTGCCAGGGAAGCGCTTATTCCACTGAACCATCTCCCCAGACCCCCGACAATGGTTCTTAATGTCATTTAACTGCAGATCTCTTTGTTCAAATGAAAGTCATAAAGAATTGTAGTTAAAAGTTGAATTGCTCAAAGAGGATGACAAGAAGATTGGGAAATTTAGTAACAGGCAGCCCCTGAGAGAATTCCCTAAGAGCCCTAGGATACAGAGGAATACAGCTTTAAAAACATACAGTCTAGATGTTAGGAAATACGGAGGTTGATATGTTGGCTAGGAAGGAGACAGAGGAATGAGAGAGGAGAGGAAGAGGAAGGAAAAAAAGATTAAGATGTATGTGTGTGTATAGATTCCCAATGAAGAGTGTACTATATATCATAAACAAGAAAAAGTAAATAAAATATGTATTATAAGCATGAAAATTAGCCTTCAAGAGGTACCAGATTGGTGCTTTTCATCATCATAGATAATAGGATTTGAACCTAGGTCAACAGCAGTCTTTCTCAAAAAGGACTGACATTAGGAAAAAAGTAACTAGGAGTGGTTTTGATTACCAAGAGCTCTGAGTCTCAGTGTTGTGGTTTGGTTTTTTGTTTTTTTGTTTTTTGTTTTTTGTTTTAGTTTTTGTTTTTTCAATACTGGGGATAGAACTCAGGACCTTATGCTTGCGAGGTAGGCACTTAGGCCACTGAGCTATCTCCCTGGCCCTGAGCCTCAGTCTTGCCTCTAATTTGGGGGTCAAGATACAGCAAGGTGTAAGATGATCCCTAAACTGCTGCTGTAAGAAGCCTCCATACTCTTTTTTTTTTTCCCCCATACTCTTTTAAAAGATGGTATGCTTAATTTGGGCCCCCCAACAGGTGTTTCCAAATATAGGAGGAAGATTAAGAGTTTTCTAGGAAAAAAAAAAAAAGTTTTCTAGGGTTACCCAGCCTGGATTTAATCTGGGCTCTGCTGCGTCCTAGCTGTGTGTGACTTTGGATGAATTGTTTAATTTCACTGTGCCTTCTTAAGTGACTTCTATACCAGCATCTCTCATTCCTTGCAGAATTAATGTCATTGCTTCCAGTCTCCTGTCCTTGCTATTTTTTTCCTTCTTTGAACTTGGTAACACTTGTTTTTCAGCTTCCAAAGTGCTAAGATTATAGATGTTTGCCACCATGCCTGGTTTTGTCTTGGTTCTTTTATCAATTTTATTTTACTCTTTTATTTTTGTACCAGGAATCAAACTTCAGTCCTTGCACTTGCCAGGCAGTCTTATTGCCACTGAGCTATATGTCATTGGCCATTTTATTTTATTTTATTTTTTATTTATTATTTGGTACAGGGTCTTGCTCTGCAGGTCATACTCGGTGATCCTCTTGTCTCAGCTTCCCCAGCACTGAGATTAGAGGCATGAGCCACCACAGTTGGTTTCAGAGCTGGCAGGGTACACCTGGGGTTCCAGGGCTGGCACGGCATGCAATACTGGGAATCCTTGCACTTGTGCTTGCCAGGCAGGTGTTTATGCCACTGAGCTATCTCTCCAGGCCCCTTTTCATTTATTTATTTATATATTTATTTTGGTGTCAGAAATTGAACTTGGGACCTTGTGCTAGCCAAGCAGGTGCTATACCACTGAGCTGTATCCCTGGTCCCTCTTCATCAATTTTAAAGTGAAGAAAACAGCAGTGCCCACTCTTAAAAATATTGTGGTAATGCCTGTGAAACAGAGTTACTGGCTGATGGTATATGTTAAGTGATTGATTTTTAAATATAACTATAAAATTAGATACTATCAAAATGTGTTATAAATTTAATGAAACTGTTGTCACAGTGACTCTGTGTGCTGCTCTCATTGTGTCCGCATTCTGTTCCATTGTTCCATCTTCTGATCCTTAAAATTGCTGTCCAGGAGGTTGAAGAAATATCTGGAGGATGAAGCGGAGGTGTCAGGAAGTGACGTGGGGAGTGAAGACGAGTATGATGGGGAAGAGATCAATGAGTACGAAGAGGATGTGATTGATGAAATTCTTCCTTCTGATGAGGAACTACAGAGTCAAATCAAGAAAATACACATGTGAGTGTCCCAGTAAGTCCAGCAGGGTGCATTGGAAGCCCCGGCCTGTCACCAGTCCGAGTGGTCCCAGTACTGACTGCCTCACTTCTCCTCTTGTATAGGAAGACCATGCTGGATGATGATAAGCGACAGCTCCGCTTATACCAAGAGCGGTACCTTGCTGATGGAGATCTGCACAGTGATGGACCTGGGCGGATGAGGAAATTCCGATGGAAAAACATAGGTATGTTGGCTGTTGCCTTCAGAAGTAATATTCCAGTAACATGTCCGTCCAGTTTAAGACGTCAGAGGGCAGGAGCTGGGGATGTGGCTCAGTGGTAGAGTTTTTGCCTTGTATGTGCAAGGCCCTGGGTTCAATGCTCACCACCAATAAATAAATAAATGATCTCAAATGGCAATCAAAATTGTAGTAGGGGGGCTGGAGAGATGGCTCAGTGGTCTAAAGCACCTACTTGGAACAAGCTTGGCAAAGCACAGGGACCGAGGTTCGATCCCCCAGCACCACATGCCAGCCAGCCGCGCCCCCTGGTGGGCTGAGCTGGCCCCACACACACACACACACACACACACACA